GCATCTTCCACCGCTGAGGCCCAGGGGTATGGTGTGGTGCACGTGTGGAAGGAGGTAGTGGGACCTTGGATAGATACCGACGGACAAAGGAGGGAGCAACAGACGACGTGCCGGACGGACATCACAATATAAAGTAAAATACTACATAATATAAGTAAAGACAATATATAATATATATTTTTTATATATATATTTCTTTAATTTTTTTTTTGTTTGTAATGCGGCGGAGCGGGCAAAAAAAGAAAAGACTTACGAACCGCTCTACCGTGAGCGAGTCAAGTCGCATTACAGTTCCCAACTTAAAAAATTATTGAGCTGGACGCTCATCTGTTGTTCCTGGAATACATGACTCGGTGATAGGTAACTTGAAAACAATGGTTTCTAAGAAGATATAGATGGAAATAATATGTCCCATCATAATAGGTGAAGTTATAATTAGAGAAACTTTGACATTTAATAAGGCAGATAACCGATCGAATGTGTTATTAGACTAAGGGAACGGGAGTAGAAAGATGAAAACGTGAGCAAGATGTCTTTTTGAATGATCAAAGGCTTATTTTCCGGTAGGAAATATTTGTGATAAAAGTGATAAAAGGTGATACGATTTTGAAGTTCGCCAAGATATTTAATAACATTTTTGACGACTTTAACATAATAAATAGAGGCGAACGAGATAAAATTGATATAATTCTGGATTATTGAGATTAATGAGAAGATGGACGGTGACCAAAAAGCTTATCCGCATCTTTTATAAAATGTAAGAAATAATCACGTGCGAGCGCTCCACAGCTTTGCTTTTCTAAAAAAACATGATTTAAGACGTGTCAGGTTCATATGGGTAGTTTAATTGTTTTATTTGACAAATATATTTGTGGAAAAGACATAACTGTTATTATAATTCATATTATAGTTAAATATAGAGAGATAAACTCTAAGACTGCCTTAATTGAAAACTCTACTGCACTTGAGATATAAACCCACGACCATTGAGTTGTTACGGAAACTATGCATTTAGTCAGTCAGAGAGAAAGATTTTTTCTAGTTCGTGACGGACGATCACTGTAAAAAGTAAAAATATTTTTGAACGTCCGAAATAGCAATGAAATAAAGAGAAAATTTTTTATATAGATAAATAAACATAAGCATTTACGCTAAGTTAATTTACAAGCGAACAAATATTTATAAGACAATGATAGCAGGCTGCTGCCAATGCTGCTACCGTTGGTATGCAAATTGTTGGCTATATTGGCTGTTTTCCAGACTTGATTCGTAGAAAGACCTGCTTATGTTTTTCGTGTAGGATTGTGTATCGTTTTCATTAAATATATTTGTTCACTTTGTAAAAAAATCAAGACATCATTAGTGCGAATCCGTAAATTTCCGAATGTGTAAATTTATGAAGAAATCCAACCCTCTTGGTCGCAATCGCTCCTTCATTAGATAAGTGTATAGGCACGGCGAAACTTTTCAATTTAGAGTCTTCAACGAAGATGAAGTATTTTAGAGCATGCGTAAATCAAATGCCACGTGGCACGATAATATTATGTTATCCTTTCTTTGATTTAAGTTTTTAATCACGTAACAACATACCAACTTTCTAATTTCTGAACTGCTAAAAATAGCAATGGTGGCTTGGTTTATTTGGAAAATCGATACCAACCCGTGGTTATCGGCTCAGAATTAAGAATTACTACATCTGGTGTTCTGCTAGACTCAATTGGGTTGCCATACCTTCTTTAATGCCTTCATAAACGACTTGGTTGCCTGTTGTCACGTTTTGAACATCCACTTATATGCTGATGAAGTTCAAATTTACCTCCTTGAGCTTGTGAAACATTTGATTCAGCGAATGAATGAAAATGTAGCCCATGTCACTCTCTGGGCCAATTTTAATAATTTCATGGTAAATTCATGCAAAACTAAAGCTATTGCAGTACCACCTATGGGCTATCACTCCCATTCCTCGCGGCGTGTTAAAACGAACGATGAAGATGTCGAGGTCGTTAGTGCGTTCGCGAACCTTAGTTTCAAACTCAACTTCCGCTGGAGCGCTGAGTTACTGTTAATGTCACGGCTTTGCGTATTCATAATATTTGGAGAAGACTGTGGCTCTCCTCATCCTCCATTCTAATCCTAGCCAAATTTAGATTAATGAAGTGTCTTGTTGTGCCGCTCATATCGTGTGAAGCATATATATATGGTAAATTACATTACGTTTCTAATAAAAACTCGCGAGTTGTTGTAAGCAAGTGAGTCAAATTGAACACTTTTGGTTTGCTTGAATACGTTATATACACGTCTCTTATGAAGAATCTTCTATTTTTGTCTTTGTATGTAAACTCATATCCTTCGATAGGTTATGTTAACTAGTCCGTAAGTGCACTTATCACACAAAATTTTCTAAATTTTTTCACTTGAAAGACGCAGTTATTGACAAAAATTGATGCAATATATGTTATTCAAAATATTTTCCTCCATTTTCTACAAACTTTTTCTATCTTTCTTGCAACAGGGCGATATGTTGAAAGCACGACGTTGGTTTGACAAGGTTCCAATCATGGGTCCATTTTCACACTCCTTCAACAGCGCGCCAGCCAAGCCATATTACATCGATCTGAAAAAGTGACAGTCAGAAGGCGCAAACTCTTCTTTTTTTTGCTTGGCAAGCAATAGAGCCGCGATGATAAAACGTTTCGAAATGAATTTTCAGTCAATTCATAAGATAGAAGTTTTTTTTTGTTTGGATTTTTTCCGTCACATGTAAACATCTTGAAACAGTTAATTCATGAACTGTTAAAGTGTTCAAAAGTTCTTTGAGAGTTAAAGCTGCGTTTTTGTCGAACAAGTCTCGCAATTCGTTATCTTTAAATTTTTGTCGTCCAAAACCGACAATTGGGATATGACGGACCAGCGTCATTATAAACTTCGAAAAGTACTTGATAGGTTCCGGCAGCAAATTTCCTCGAACTCTAAAAGTAATAAATGCCGAAATGCAATTTCGAACATTCCATGATTAGCGTCTCTATACACTGCGTAACTCAATAACACTGAATGGAAAAACGTTATTTTGTGTAGAGAAAAGTCAAAATCATCGAATTTAACCATTTTGTATATTAATACTTCACATTACTTTATAAGACACACTTCAAATTTATAAAATGATTTTTAGAAAAATATATTTTAGTGTTACTTTTTAATCAAAATTTTTATTTATTTTTAGCATAATTCGTACCAGCAATATTGAGTTCATCTTCATTCTCGGTATTATCACTCGTCTCATCAATGTCGTTCGTATTACTTTCTTCTGAACAATTGTTCTTACTCCTTTCGAACCTGAAATGTGGAGACGATTTATTGAAAAATTTTTCAATGATACCTTCAGACCGTAAGACGCACTCAAGATTTGAATCCCGTTTTCTATGTAAAGAGGGGCTTCTTATAGTCCGAAAACTACGGTAATATTTAAATAAATATATAGAAAATCTTAGAAATATTGATTGTTATATGGCTGCCGAATATTTAAGGAAAAGGTTAAATTTTTGAGCAAAAACGGCAATTATATGTTAACAAAAATGGTTTTTTCAAATGAAAAAATGGTCAAAATACATTCAAACACCTATTAATTTATAACTTACCTGCAAAGAATCCATATTCTATTTAATTGATGATTACATCAATAGCATATTTCATGGCTTCTTTAGTGCTTCTTAAGTTTGAACTTTGGACATATAGCCAAAGGTTTCAATAATCAAGTTGATCGCAACAAATTTTGTGTTAAATGTGAATAAGAAGGTAATTTATCTAACAGCTTTTTAAGTTAGTCTAATATTGAACGTGGCAACACAATATGAATGGTCCAATGGGACAAAATTTAGATTGTTCGTAATCTGCTGATAGGTGCATAAAGGTGCACTGTTGGCACTAAGAAGCAATGTTTAGTAGCAGTAGTGGTGACAGGGCGTAGGTTATAACGGCATGTACATTTGGCTGAATTAGATTACTACAGGTATATCGACACACCCATAGTCACCAACGAAGATATTGCAAATTGCTGTAACCAAAAATAAATTTAACGTAACTGTTTTGAACAGTCTGATATTTGAAACTACCCGAACAATATGATTACGTTAAAGTCTAATTATTTCAAAAAGAGAATACGTACAAGTGCTCAGTGTGCTAAAAGCTAACAGCAACTAATATATCAGAGACAACAAAATACATAGACGCTTCAACGTTTTGTTCAAAGTTGCGATTAGCAAACTTTTAGGCACTGTTTGTGTATTGCTAAGAGAATAACAGTAGTAACGCGGCTAATTAGCAGTCTTTTGACAGCTTGCTCTTTCATTACCGTTATTTACATAAACAAAAATTCTTGTTGTTTTTTAATATGACGTCACATTCTTCTAAATATTTGGAAAACCGGAAAAATGGAACTTTCGTTCGCGACCAAACTAATCTAACTAACTAATTTTCGTTGATATCATTCAGTCAATGAAAAAGCAAAAAAGGGGAATAAAATTGTCTTTATATTTGTTTCTGGCTGTCAAAATTTAAACAAATAACAGCTTGTTCTTCTCTTTGATAAATTAACAAACAAAAAAATTATTGATGAAGTAGCTATCCGCCTTTAATTAAACGGGTACGTTAGCCACGTGTCATTAAAAATATTCGCGAAATTTGCTGAGAAAAAAAGGACTCGTCTTGATGTAATAAACGACACCACCTTGAATAAACATACCCATTAAAAGATATTAAGCAGGTTTGCTTTTAGTAAATTTTTTTAAATTAACAAAGCTGACAGTTGTATTATTTCTTAAAACAGTAGATTTAAGATTCCTCATATTCGCGTGCGTTTAAGTCGACGTCACGGTGTTGGGTCACCTGGCAAATCATATACATTGATTACCTATGTTCCCGAGGACACATTTAAAAATATGCAAAATGAAAATTTAATGGTGATTATGATTAAAATAAGGATTTAGTCGAATGGACAGAAAAGGCTTTAAATGTTTTTATGTTCGATCTCAATAAAAAAAATTGTTAAGCTTTTCGTAAGCTGCTATTGTTTTTGCGTTAGCTAATTATAGAACAAATAAACGGTAAAGATACATAATACATGCAAATTAAAACATTACAAATTTATTGGTATCATTGCCTTTAAAATATAAGGAAAATAAGGAAGGCATGTAATCATTGTTTTATGAGTCGAAAAACATAAAACAAAGACGTACTATGCGGCTGGGAATTATACAAATTTCCTTAAGATATCTGTTATAAAGTGGTTCAGAAGCAAATAGATAAAGAAAGACATTTCCAAGAGACCGTCTAACGATTATTAGAGGAGTAAACTCAATTAAAAAGGACACTAATTCGATTATTAAAGAAGAAAATCGAGAACGATAGGTCGTTCAACACCAAAGTACTGAAAGTAAAAAGTTTGACTACCACTTTCGCCTGATCCCAAGTGATTTCGAAGTTGATGAGCGATAATAATTTTAATTCTTTACCTCGACAATTTTAGAATTTTGAAGATATTTTCCTTTTATTGATTACTATATAAACATATTTATTATTATTATGAAATGAGCACTAATCTGTCTCATAAAAATTTTCTGTCGTTACCTTCGATCCTTTTCCAACAAATGGTATAAAATGATTTGTCGAAGCACTCTGCCTAATATTTATATATTATATATGGTTTTTTATTAACATTCAACAATATATTAATTATCTTTCACAAATTTAAACTCTTTTTGTTTTGCTAGGCTAATAAGGAATGTGGGTTATAGATCCACCCAAAAAAATTTTAAAAAACTTTAAGGGAATAAATTTTTCTTCTTTCAAATTTCTATTTGTATGATTAACTCAACATTTTTTAGCGATTAATTTTCGGTTTAGTTTGCTTTTGTTTCTTTGCTTGTTAATTTGTTTTTTTAATTTTTTGGCTTCGTTCAGCTGTCTGTAAGTAAACAGTTTTGTTTGGAATTCACTTTGTTTTCAATTTACAACTTGTAACAATTGATTGTTGTTTCGAAAGGTTTGTTACAAATATAATATGTAGAGAGGTTGTTAAATTCAACAACGACCTTACTAATCGGATGAAAGGAAGAGAAAAAATTTGTGTGCCTGAAGTATGCCTGCGAATAAAGAAGAAAAGAATGTCTGCTGCGAACAAGAGCGTTCGTTTGGTTATAGCAGCGAGCGATGCTAGAGAGCTTGATATTGAAACATGTTGAAAATTTGTGTTGCTTTTATTTTCCGGTTGTACAAAGAAGATATAAAGAAAGTTAATGATGCGATAGTCGGTTAACAAGACAGCAAATTAGTCTATTCTTTTGTAACAAAAGTGTAGCTCCATTTTCGGGATTAAGAAAATTGGAAAATAACATTTGAAAGTGAATTAGGCTTTTCGAATTGTAAATCTGGAAAGGAAATGTGGTCAATGTATCAGGGCGGTAATTTTAGAGTGTTTGAATATTTATAATGAAACAAAAATGTAAATAAAATATTGCAAAATATGAAATTAAATAAAATAAGAAAAAATAAAAATAAATTTCAACTGATAACGGTACTTATAACGAAGGAAGGGCATATCTGAACAGTCGAATTTTTTTTAAAATAAAAAAGGCAACGTTAATCCTTTAAATGGTAGAATATTTCGTCACTGTGCGCATAGCATGGTGTGCTATTAAAAGCAGCTGTATAATACGGATATACGCGTATAAAGCAGGAAAAATAAACAATTAATTGGTTTAGTCTGGGCTTCTGATACTCGACGTTTGTCAAATAAATTCGTGTTTGAAAGTAAATTCCTTAAAAAAAAAGGACTAACACGTGTTCGTACTTTACCTGCGTAAAATTTATGAACGTAATCATTATAAATGTGATCGCGTGTATTTTGGCAATGATACTACAAAAAATTTCGTCGCTGGCTTAACGTACAAGGCATTGGTATGCATATAATAACTATGTAAAGTAAAATGACGTCAAAGGCTTTCGTAATATTATAACCTTTATAAAGTCAAGGCAAGTCAAGTCGGTCCCAACCTGGGCCCGAAAAACGAAAAAAGTGCAAATTAACAGACCATAGAACTTATTTTGCAAACAGCTTTCTCTTATAAATGCAACTCAAAACAACTACAAAATAACTTAAAATAACCAATACTAACGCAAAACGTAACCTGTTTTGCTTTCGAATAATTTGACAAGTATGGGAGAGACTGCTGTTTCGCCTACGTGATCCCAAAAAAACGGATAGTCATCAAGCAATGCTGCATGCAGACAGATAGTCGAATCGAAACCAACCAGCAAACGAAAAGCCAACTTTCAGATAAGTGACTACATCCCAGTTTTAAATTCTCTACTCACATGTTAACAAAATGAATATAACCCACCATGATAGCTCACATGCCTTGAGGTTTGTGCCTTTGCTAAAATATATTTACCAACTTATGAGTTACCGCAAAGTAACACAAAAATTAATAAAATAACTGGGAAACTTTAAAGATTCTAGAAAGCGTGAACATATAAAACAAACTAAAGTTTTACTTATCACCATTACACAGACAATTAAGTGCTTACCTCTAACTATTAAGCATAGATACAGTACACTGAAAGAACGTAATGAGTATAAGAACGTTCAGGGGCGCAACGGTACTCCAGTCTAGCTCGTCGCATGCAATTTTTTTCATTTTGGTATAGGCACAGTAGAATCATTCATACAATAGACCTGCAACTTTGTTAGCATCATCTGCTTCTGCTTCAGAGTGATGAGCAAAATTTCAAATTTTTTGTTTTCTGAAAAGAGCAAAAAAAAAAATTGAAGTAGTGCTATATGCGCGATTTCAATACCTACGTGCAAGAGTTTCAATTTTTGTAGCGAACTCCAATTACCAGTTTCATTATTACGACCAGGATAATATTTACAGCAGCCATTACGCAGACGGACAGATGGTCATTGATTCACTTTTTAACGTTGATCAAAAACATATATATTTCATAGGATCTCGGGAGGTGCTTTCTGCGTATCGCAAACGATTCCCTTAGCAAAATGTAAAATAGTGATGGGTATCAAGGAAAGTGGGCTCTAGGAATATGTAAGCCCTTGTTTTCGATTTTAGCATCTTTTCTGCAGTATTTGGAAGAAAGTACCCATTTTCTAAATGAAAGATGTGTTTCACTATATGCCATTTGTTATCCTAATTGTTATTGGCATCCTTCTTAAATGCTGCCCCGTCCACTCATGTAAGGGGTACTCTATAAACAATTGGCCAAAAAAAGACAAAAATAAAGAATAAAATATGGAATAGAGATTGAATGTCGAAAGTTTATAAATTTCAAGAAATAATACAAGCGCTTAAAACCCAGCACTTAATGGTAAGTCGATAACTGCAAAACCCCAACCAGTAATTTTGGTAGAAGCTTTCTTTTGGAAGTTCCTGCGTCTATTAAAATCTTGACATCAGCTTAATGTGATTGTTATGGAATTTATTGAAGTTATTACGTTCACTTTTACCTAAGCACGCGCAAATTTATACATAAAATTGAAATTGATGTTTATTCATGAATGTTTATAAATCTTTCAAAAATATGGATAAGCAATGGGGAAAACGACGCAATGGCATTTTAATGATTTACGTAACATACTCAGAAACCTGTCTAGCAATCCAATTTTTGTTTTGTTTTTGATTTTCTGAGTTCACAAAGAGCGTCATATAAATAAGTAACACTTGCGACAACAAAAATGACAGCACCCAGACTTTTATTTGTATTTTGGCAGTGTATTAAGTATTCATTTGACCCTGAACTAATTATGAATTCCAAGAAAGGCTGATGAAAATATATATACATATATATACATAAATATAAAGATATATATATATATATTAATCTTGGAATTCATACAAATATATATACATGCAGAGAAACGTAAGCTATTTTTATTTATTTTTCTTTACATATAGGTTTCATGTATATTTTTCAATTAATAATAAATATATAAAGTGGCCGTAAACATCAAATTTGTAATAAAAAATTTATATATTTATACTTTTGTATGCTTGAAATATATTAATCCATTAATATACTGTTTGTAAGACGAAGATATATTTTAATCGGATAGATATGTTAAGCCGAACTAAGGATATAAAATCCACAACTTGCCTTAGATAAAAACAGATTGCATCAATAAACAATCCAACTACTGTTTCAGAAATCCTGCTGGCACTCTTATAGTTAATATTAATAAATGTAGCGATGTTAACATTCTTGCTAAAAAACAGATGTGCAGAATCCGTAAATTAATTCAAATTTCCCCTTTATCTATTATAGCTACATAGGTCTTGAAGCATCGGGAAATAATAAAGTGATTCGAGACAGATAACCACTCAAAACATATATTATAGTTTTGGCCTAAATAAATATTTGATCAAGGAAAAAAATCTTTTTATTTTCCAATAGATGGTTTTTGTGTCTTGTAACTACTGTAAATCTAAAACTACTACACCATACTACAGCGCGTTTGAAAATTGGCGATCCAAAAATAATTGAAAAATTATATATGAAAAAAGTCGTAATATTTTAAAGTGCGATTTCAACAAGAACGCTAACGTTTGCTCGCGAGCGAAGAAAGTCGTGAATTATCACGAAAGTTTCTTATCAATATTACTAGCATACCAACATTAGGCAGAAGTTTGTTGCGGTTTTTGACTATGAAATAAGATGATTTGTTTTTATATAAAGAATAAATATGTTATTTTGGATGAATTGAGTTTCTTTGCAATTTTACGAATCGTTATGTGTTGATCAGCTTCAATCATAACCTTTAGTTGGTCGTCACGAATTGCATTTGGCTTATAAGAATGCGATAACGCTTTCACTGAAAATTTCCAGAATGAAATTTCTCAAACCTATTTGGACAAGAGCGTTCTGCTGCAGCATTAGTTCCATACATACCACATACTTCTCTATGTGCTTCTGCAGGTCTTTTAGCTTTGAAAGTCTTTTACGAAATAAACTTAAGCTTACTCTATATATAGCTACATATACCTTTAACCCTAATTATCTGTCTAGCTTCCTCCTCCTGAAAAGGGTTATCTTAACCAAATGTCGGGAAATAATGCAAAAAATTTCCGGGTTTCCTTAAAGTGGTTTCTAAACATTTCTATATTAAAGATGCATCGTTTTCATGTTGATTAATATGATAACAGTACAAAAATAAACTGAAAAATGAATTATGATTTATGTAAAGAAAGTTTTTTTTTCATATGAAAGAATATATGCCTTCAGCCGGTTTTGCAAATAGCTGAATACAAAAGCGAAAGCTGTGTCTTCCACACGTGATTGCTACCATGGTTAATAATGTATCAGTGGTTATGGTCACGGTAAGGCTGCGGATGACTTTCCTTGTACAAATATAATTATGTAGTTTTAAACTTTTTTTATTTTCACTTGTCAATAAATTGTATTTTTGCAAATGTACGACAAACTTCACCGATTAAGACATTTTAAATAACATTCTAGACACGTTGTTTATTTTTACAGCAGATGATGAGAGCATCCAATTTATCATTGAGTTCGCAATATTAACAAACTTGTTTATGTATCTTATAAGATCTCGTACATAAGTTTGTTAATGCTGTAGAGTCAATGATACGAACATAGTTTTAGTTTAGGTATGCGTCGTAATGGATTTAATCGCAAAGGAATTGATTTAGGAATGTCAACTTGCATTGCGATTCATGGGTTTATCAAACGCACATTCTCAGTTTCGGAACCTTCCCTAGCATATCAAAATTTATTGTTACCATCATATCAAATCACATCCAATCGTTGGATATGTACTAACTAAAGTTTTGACATATGCCTATTTACCAACACTTACAAAGAAATGTTCTGAACGACGCACATATATTGTTTCCTGTACACATACACTTTATGAATAATAAGTAAAAAACTAATTTTTTATTCCTTTTGAAAAAAGAGGTGTTCTCAGTTTACGTGATACTGTAGGCTTGTCCTTCGCCCGGTTTGTCCACTTTTAATATCATCCTGGTTTTCTCACCCAAGGAATTTTCGTAGAGGAACAACAAACACATAATGAATACACAGTGACAAACTCCTGTAAATGTAATAAAAAATTAAGTTGTTATTGACGATATTATTTAATTATTTTGGAGCTGTTCGGTCGCTTATTTGGGCTTTTCATATCGTAGTACATACACCGATCATCGCTCGTAAGAATTCAACAGCGCTTTCCTTTGAATTAATCAGCAAAAGTAAATTGCATCTATTTGGGGCAACGCTTCGCTTAGTCAAAGCTCCAAACAACTGTATTGCGTACGCTTTAGTGTGGAGAAAGCAATGTGTTATTTTAAATCATACTATTTGCACTCTTTTTTAGACAAGGGCCAGGACTTATTCATATACCGAAAAGTTTAAAATTAGTCTTTCTATTGCTCCGCAAATGAAACTTTTGCATGTTTTTAAAAAAACAACAAGGTCAACCCTTAAATACCCTTCACCAAATTGTCTGACACCATTCTAAACTATCTTGTTTCTATATAAATGCATGTTTTTGATATGCACACTTATGGGGAAGCGGCCCCAAAACGCTTCATGCTTCACGAAGAAAATTATATCATAACAGTAGTTCAACATGAAAATTTAACTTTGCAAATTTGAATCTTCTCGACCTATTTTTTGGATCCTAACCTGATAAGGACGTTGACGAAAACTGACCCTCTGTAGAGCAGAGAATCTAAGCAGTAATATGTGGCGATGAAAATTGACCCATAATATTATAGTAAGTTCATATAAAATTTGGACCATCTATGCCTATTTTTGGGTCCTGCCCTATCTAAGGATTAAACTTGTACTACATTAGGTTGTGTTTTGAGACCGCTTCCCCATAAATACGCACTAAATTGGCTTTATAAAGAAACAAAACATAATGTTTGTGTTCTAGCATGAAAATAAGAATTTTTGTTAGACAATGTGTTCCAGCATATTTAATAGTCGGCCTTGCCGGAGTATAATGTTCTTTCTTGTTTTATGTTAAATTACTATTACGATATAATTTTCATCATGAAGCATTGAAATTTATACCTTTTCATCGTATGAACTTCAGTTCTCGTTATATGAGATGGTGGTGAAAAATTGCCCAAGGCAGTCCAAGGTTTTCATACTAATTCAGAATGCCGAAGTACTGCTACTTAGCTACTAAATAACGACTTTTCAGAATATGGCGTTATATGGGGAGTAGTCGAAACAGTGTACCGATCCGAACCATTTTCGATAGTGTATAATAAGATGATGTATCACGTGTCAAACCTAAAAAAAGTATGGTAACGCTTTTTCTAAGCATCATAAGCATAGCTAGCGGCTCACTAAAGTGTGTTGAATCAAAAATTCACTTAAAACAAGAAGAATAAACACAAAGGAAACAAATAAGGACCAAACCGTGACCACATATTTTATATCCATCAACATGATCCCACAAAAAGGAAAGAGAACTAAATTTTTCTGCTCTATAATATTGCGTGGTAGATTTTTTCTATTTTGGAGTTAATGAGTAACAAGTAAAAAACACAGAAATCCGGGGTTTTTGAAGCTTGCTTCTGCAAATGTTTCGAAAAAAAAGAGTAAGACAATTAAGCTCGGTCAGGACTGAATCTTTCACACCCATCACCGTTATCCTAAACAAGACAAAAGAAGTAAAAGAATAAAATTAATATGAATTTACACTAAAGAAATTAAATTCTCTGCTAATGGCATATTTGCGTACGTAAATAGTATTTTTATTTTCATTTATGTGATAAATTAGGATTACGTGATAATAACTTACGGCAGCTTTATTGAAAAAGCGTACAAAGTCTTTTGAATTTCCCGCGCAATATATAGATAAGAGTAAATTGTTTCATATGTCCGAAGGTATGGCTATTGTTATACCAGTTCAAGCAGTGCACTAGTAAGTCAAAAATCTATAAAAAAAAATAATCCAAACGCATTTAAATGAAAGGAAATAAAGAAATTTTGCTTCAGAGAAGAAATTGCAAACATTGCTAAAAAAAAGGAAATTTCATATAAATGTTGTCACTCAATTTTCATTATTGGTTCGAATATGAAATTAGAAATCAATAATAGCCAAATTATTTCCAAATTTACTAAGTTCCCGCTAATCCTTACCAAAGTGCCCCTCATGCAGATGTGGGTAACTGTCAGATGTGTGTCAACTGTCAAAGTTCTTTTATTTTTAAAATTAAGATAAGACCGAAATCGCAAATCTGTTTCGGAATAAGGCGGGAAAGACGTTTCTTATTTTTTGAGTATAGCCTGTCTGCTGC